TTCATCCTCTACCTCTTGAAGTTTTTGGGGTGAATAGTATAAACTATCTTCATACGATCGTTGCATATTTCGTGTACATACGGCTACAATATCATTTTGTAATTCGGCCATTTCGACATCGTTTGGCTAAATGATCATTTAAAAAGAGTATATATCATTAGCCATTATTACACTCAAAAAAAAAGAGAGAAATCTCGGACCAGCTTTTCTTCTTACCGGTATATTAATGTCCAAAAATGTCAATGTATGGTTCATCTTGATCGATATCGATAATGCTAATACACCTGCCATGGTGATTTGTGGATTACGAGATAAATCTAAACGAGATAAAGTCGAGTTTTCGGGTAAACATTCTGCGAGAGCAATAGCAGAACTTGAATCTAATTCAGTGCCTGCTAAGTTTAATTCTCTTAAAAAGTGGTTTCTTGATAATGCTGTTTTAATGCTTTGAATCTAATTAATTATTATTATTTTTTCAGTATTAGTAACAATCACTTCTCCCTTCTCTTCATTCACCCCTTAGTACTCCCAAAAAAATCATCATCATCATTCTTTCCTCCCCCTCCCCCAATCTCCTCCTTTCAAAGAACAATAATAAATAAATAATTCATTACTCCTTCATCTGATTTAATTCCAATTGGATTATCCGAAATATCGAGCACTTGTAAATGATGGTTTGATAGCTAATATAACATAGAATTTATGATGCATGAGATAAATCAATTATAAAAAAAAAGAGCGAGGAAAAAAAAAACGTTGTTGTCAAATTCCACCAATCCATGCCATACAATAAAAAAATTGGGCTTACCAATGCTTCTGCCAGTTTAGCACATTCATTTGCATAGATTTGACAATCCGTCAATATTAAATGAGTTAAGGAACGGTTATTATACAATGCTTGGGCAATAGAGACAACAGCTTGTTGTAAATAATTGCCTGTTAAATCCAATTGTTGAATGCCTCGTCGTGGATATTGTCCATTGGGAGGTTGTTGCCAATACATTTCAATAGGTTCATCATTGATTAACATGGCTGCAATCCAAGGTGCTGCATTGTAAGAAATACGGTTGTGTCGTAATGATAAAGTATTTAAAGAGACAGACTGACGGACTCCTCCAGCAAGAATTTCAATCAATGGTGCTTTTAATGAACAATGATCCAAGAATAATGTTTGTAATGAAGGTGCAATATGAATGGCATGAGAAAGGTAACGTAATGCTCGTTTATCGGGTGTTGTTCGAGATAAATCAACGGTTTTAATTGCTCTTGACTATATATCCATAAGATTGTTAGTTAGTTTTTCTCGGGATGAATGATGTAGATATGTATATCAAGAGAAAAGAAGACATTGGTTCTTTCTATTGTTTTTTTTTTTTTTTTTTTTTTTTTTTTTTTACCTGACTAATATAAATAGAGATATATTTAAAACCATCTGCTTTGAATGAATTCCCAGCAAGTTTTAATTCAAGGAGTCGATCTGTGATCAACAGACTATGAAGCAATATTCGGATTGTCTATTTTAAACCAATAATATGGATTAGCCACTTTTTTTATTCTTGTCAAACCTTCACACACAAAACCAAAAAGATCACTCTTTTCTTTTGCCCCTGTTGTACTACACACTGTGATGGTATATATATATATATAATATAATAATATAATATGTTATACATATACAGCGACACACACAACACTAATAATAAACACATGTGTCTTGTCTCCATTTTCTGATAGATAAAAGAGTTTTTTTTAGGATAATACTTTACTTCATCGTTCATGCCACAATTAGAAAGATCGAGACTGCACAGACCACAATCTAACATGAGAATATCTGCAATCGGTCCTGCGTATCTTGAATCGATCATTTGATTTGCCAAGTTAATTGTCGTCAAGTTTGAGAAGCTTCTTTGAAGTGAAGGTTTTTTTTTATAATAATGATATTAATAATTCATGAAAATGATTTGTTCTTGATTTTAGTATTTCCAATATCCAAATTCTTCTTTGATCATAACAATAAAATAAACTAGAAAGTTGTCTCTTTTTTTTTTGGTTTCCACTCACCAACTAGAACGTAATAAATCCATAAAACTATCCAGTGGTTGTTCTTCTCGTAGTCGACAAGCTCTTTCATAATATTTTGGTAATTCTCTACACGAAAACTGATTCTTGTCTTGTGCCTCTTCCTCTTGGTCAATGACATTCTCTTCTTGTTCTTCTTCAGGAGGTTGTAATGAGGATGATTGTGGACTCAAGTCTGCTAAAATGTCATCTGTTGGGCTATTGTTATTATAAAGGATATATTCGGTGGTAAGTTTTCTAACAGAGAAAGTCACTCGTTTCAGTTCTTGTCTCGGCAATGCAGGAACCGCATAAGGATCGTCTGTGGATGAATAAAGTTTGGATTGAATACGAGTTAACCATGAACTGGTGGATCCTGTTGAAGTCACTGAAGGTGGTTTTTTGGCTGGTTTTTTTAAAATGCCTTTATTGCTGGAACGACTCGCCATTTTTTTAATATTAAAAAAAAAGAAAAGAGAGAGAGAGAAAAAAAAAAAGAATAGAATAAAAAAAAAAAGGTCCCGCAACCAACACTTGCTACAGGTGCAAAACTCAATCAATTAAGGACTTGTTCCTATTATGGTATAAACTGAATGAGAAAGTGTTTTAGCTTTTTTTTTTCTTGCTTCTGTGTAAATATTTTTTTTTTATTTTATTTATGCGTCGAATCGCAACCATCATTGGTACAACAGGTGTTGGTAAATCACAACTTGGGGTTGAACTATGTAAAGCGTTACATGGTCAAGTGATCAATGCTGATTCTATGCAGGTAAAAAAATATAAATAGACTCGCTCTTTTTGTTGTCCAAGAAAAAAAAAGTTTGACATGAGATCCTTCTTATTATTAGGTTTATAAAGGTCTCGATGTCATTACAAATAAAATGCCAATACATGAACGACAAGGTATTCGACACCATTTAATGGACTTTTTAGAACCTGAAGAAGAATATAAAGTAACCGAGTTCAAGCAGGATGCCACCGACTGTGTATGTTGATCAATGGATGATTTTTATCTCAACAAAAAAAAAGCTGTCAACAAAATATATTGAATATATGGATTCACATAAACTTATACCTATTCTATGGATAGATTGAAAAATTAAGTAATGATCAACAATTCCCAGTCATTGTGGGTGGAACCAATTATTATATTCAATCACTACTTTGGCATAATATGCTCATTAAAGATAATCATATTGAACAACAACGATCGCCGTCACCTGAGCCGGCTACTTCTCCCGAGTTGGAAAATTTGGATACAAACGAATTACATGCTCGATTACAAAAATTTGATCCTATCATGGCGAATCGATGGCATCCTTCGGATCGTCGAAAAATCATGAGAAGCTTGCAGGTAAGAAAGAACATGAAACAAATTGCTTTTTTTTTTGTTTATATATTTGAATTTAATTTTCATGCATGAAAATTTCTGTAAGATATATTATCAAACGGGTCGACCACAAAGTGAAATTATTAAAGAGCAACAAGAACATCATGATACTCATGGAATGCAATCAAGGTAAGGTTTTTAATATTAGGTAGCGTTTGAGAATTAGGTTATTCATGGGATATGCTTTATTTAGATTTAAATCATTGATATTTTGGCTATATGCCGAACCAACGAAATTGAATCCTCGTCTGGATGAACGTGTAGATAAAATGATTGAGGTAAACTCTTTTTTTTCAATTTATCTATGTATATATATATGTATGAGAAATGAAAAATGAATCGGACCATCCTAACCATTGTGGCCATACGTGTGTGTTTTTTTTCATATATTAGACCGGTCTTTTTGACGAAATCAAATCTCTAAGAAATAAGGTTGTGGAGGGCAATGTACAAATACCAGGACAAGATTTGGAAAAATATCAACGTGGATTATGGCAGGCTATAGGATATAAGGAATTTGATCCTTATTTTACAGCAATTGAAACAAATGATACATCTGAACAAGGTATACATTGTTATTTGAATTGTAGATCGAGAGTCAGTCGAATCGAAGGGGTTTAGGGAAGGATCAGTTGCAGTGGACAAAATAAGAAATATTAAAATAATAACAATAATTTGATTCTTAGAACTTGAAAAGATTCGAAAAGAATGTACAGAACGTATGAAATCAGCTACGCGACGTTATGCGAAACGTCAAGTTCAGTGGATCCGAAATAAACTATTACCTATTGTGAACAAATCAGAGGATGTGGATATCTTTCTTTTGGATGCAACAGGTAATTTGAATATAAATGTAAAAGAAAAAAAAACTTAATATAGAGATATACTCAAATCAATGGATTGGATTGAAATAATAGATCTTGATGCCTGGGATAGCAATGTTCGAAATAAGGCAATTGATATAGCAACAGGTAGGATTTCACGCATCTTTTTTTTTTTCCTTCCCTTACTTACATTATATTTGTATAACTTACATTCCTCTATAACTTAAGCATTTTGGGAGAATAAACCCCTACCGGATGCGACATCGCTCGGATCAGTAGCTGCATCTTTACTTTCACCCTCTTCAAAAACAATGGAGTAAGTTATATTATTACATGTTACTGTTTAACTTGCTCCTGCTGCTGCTCCTGAAAATCTTAATGGCTGTGTGAGAATATTTTTTATAGTTCCCAAACGCGCGTATTAACTTGGCAAAAGCATACTTGTCATACATGTCGTACACAAACGGGTGAACCTCTCATTCTTCATGGCGATCTCGAATGGAAACAACATGTCACAAGTCGTTCCCATCGTAAAGGTCTTAAACGTCGGAGTAATGACATTGAACGAGCCAAAAGAATGAAAAATAATGATTCAACTGCTTCTCCTCCTCTCACAACAACAACGGCGGAAGAAACGACTGTCACTTCTCCTTCCTCTTCATCTTCCTCCTCCTCGTGATGATAAACCTTAAATTCAACATTATTTACCATAAAAATGAAAATAGAGCTGCTTACGCTGGGGATCGAACCCAGGATCACTGCTTTTCACCTATTTCATGGGAGAGCAGAGTCTTACCACTAGACCACGCAAGCCAATTTTGTGATTTTTTTTTGTTGAACTGTTGTGCAAGGTTATTTATCTTTATATTTATTATTATATCATTTTTATGATTATCACCTCTACTTCTTGTATGTATTCATTTTAATATAATAAACAAAACTTCAGCTGCACAATATTGTAAATAACCATTATAAAACAAAGATTAATTGAATAGTTAAAATATTTTATAAAAATCATTATAATATTAACTTTAATTAAGAGGAGAATATCTCTTAATATAGTTTTATTAATAGTTATTTTAAAAATTATATTATAGTATTTGTTCTTCATCATAATTATTATTTATTCTATTATAGATATCCAATTACTCAAGTATGTAATTCTATCTAATTCCAGATATTTCTTTTGTTATTATATAATATACCTTTAATAGATGTAGTATTGCCCTATTTACTAATTAATTGATTCTTTTATATTCTATATTTTATCTTTCTTTAATATTCTAAGTTATTATTAATAAAGAATAAATCAAATGTAATATAGTATGTTATTGGTTTTTATATATATATTATTATAGGATAATATTTAACTAATAAATAAGTAAATTATCTATTATGGTAGTTCACTATACTATTAATCTTTATATAGAAATTAATAATTGTTAGTATCATATCATCTTGGATCATTATAGATTTAATTTTAATCTAAAAATGTACTTTTCTTCTCTCTTATTTATACATCTTTAATGGTAAGTCTTTTAATAGGAAAAATATTATGTAGGTAATCAAATCTTGTTTCTTTATAAAAATTATATCAAGATAAACTATAGAAGATATAGATGCTTACTGTTGTTTTTTATATAATAGAGCAGAGTAGCAGAAATTCTATCACAAAGAAATTCTAAAAATGGATTTAAAATTGACGTTTGGATTAATCAGGTAAAGTATTAAATGAAAGAGAAAAAATTAGTATATGGCCTTATTAAATCTTAATTTTTGCCTAACATACTTCTATAGGGGTTCATGAAAAAGGAATATAGAGGAAAAATCAAGAGCGTATGACAATGATTCTTGATGGCTATATGGATTAACTTGTGCCTGTGAATGGGTGTGTTATCTATCACGATAATACATATGATGCATTTCAAGCATTTCTAGTGTTAATGCTATCTCTACTACAAATAACAAAAAATAGGTTATAATATAAACCAACAACAGTTTTAGTAATAATGTTTACTATGGCAGTATCTAAAAACAATACCCATTTACTCATCAGGTCGGTTCTAGGAAAGTAATGATAATCGAGTTTGAAAAGTAACAGGTCATTCACGTTGGGACATTGTTGTTACTGGCAACAATAATTCCCATGTTGTTTCTATGTTACCAGTAACGATACTTTTTGAAACCCCTACACAGCGCTACTTCTACTACCTTTTAACTGCATTGCTTTACTTTTAATTTACACGCATAACGTAAGCTATTCAACAAAACCAATTGGAAGAATTACTGGTGACAGTAATAGACAAGAATGATTAAGACAGCAAAGAAACGAAAGACGTCGAGAAAAAAGAAGACAGGAGCAACCAAAGGTTGATCATAGAGAAGCGCAGCCTACTGTTTGCACATGTGGCAGATTGTTCAGGCACCCAAAGAACATTCTTCAGCATGTTTTAAGCGGTGCTCATGATAAGTATATGAGAACTCGTAATCAAATGCAACCAATTGCTAGACCGAGTAAAATAGCTGTTGATGATTTTTACAACAACGATGATTTTAACTATGGAGATAATTTTTATTCTGGTTCTGGTTCTGATTCTGATTCTAATCAGGGGAAGGGAGTTTATAGTGATGTTCAGGATACGGAATCTCTTCCTGTAGCTATTGTATGTGCTTTTATGGTTACTAGATATATAAAAATGATTTTTTCTAACATGTTACTTATGAAAAGGATGACGATGAAGAAGTGCAACAAAAATGAAGATCCTCCCATTGTGTATGCCAATTATTTGACGTTGGATTTTTCAGCAACCACTGAACTGAATAACAATCCAAACTTTCCATATCGTAACAAGCTGGACTTTCTTCTACGGGCCTTTTTCGATGCTGATGATCATCTCATGTCATTAACATTAAAGCAACGAACTCTGGAACTAATCAGCAGTGTCTTTGAAGTGATTCGTGGTGAACCAGATTTAAAGGTTCCATCAAAATACTGGTTTAGGTGGCACACCGAAACATTGGAACCACGAATGAAAGTGACAGTCGAGGAGAAAATCAAAAAAACCACAACCATAGTAAATAACCATGAAGAAATGATAGAAGAACGTATTAAATATTACATGTATAAGCCATCCGAAATATTGACACACTTGCTCGCAAATCCCAAAATGTCCCCTCGCTTAAGTGCCCTCCCTGATTTTACTCATGATCAGCGTATATCGTTAGCACAAGGGGATAAATGGAAGGAGTGTCCACTCTTTCGACATCCCATGCTAAGAAATAATCATGGTGTTGATCTCTGGGTCGGTGATTTCGTACTTGACAGTTTTGATGGTGGGCAATACAAAATTACATCTTTTCTCATGGTAAATAATGTGGAAATGGCGTTATTATGGTCATTCAGTGCGTTACCTCATGAATGGCAGTATCCATCAAGAATTCTTTTATCTATTCATGCTGATGGAAAACCAATGCTTAATTATCTTCCTGTTGATCAATTACGAATCCACCCTACAAATAACGTGTATATACTAGTAGCAATATCTTTCCCTCTCTATTCTTCACATTTTCTGTAATTGCCTCTATTATTTCTTCCTCCGTTTAAAAAATAAACAAGCTTGTTTTGTGGCCCAAAAGTGAGAACAAATATCTTTTTTTTATAATTTTTAATATAAGGAGATCTGTTACAGGTGTAGATCAATTTTCGACTAGTAACACCACCATAAATAGAAGAATGAGAAAATAAGATAAATGTCTTCTTACAGCAAAGCAAGATAATATGATATTATTGACGAGCAATTACGAGCCCAGAGCATTTTCGCAAAAAATCAAAAATCTCTAATACTGTATAATAGATGTCGATACAAGATCATGTTGTTCTATCAGATCCAATCCGTACACCTCCATCAATATATCGGGAACAAAATATGGAATGGCAATAGTGTCATCGACCTCGTCACCCGGTTATGAAGTTGTCCGATATATCATCTAAACAGTATACTGGTTTGATCGCAGCTTATTGTTGTATATCATAATATTCAGAATCTCTGTGAGATTCACTGTGAATATAATCGCCAGAAGGTTGATAATAGTAAAATGTTGTTTGCATTGAAATTAATAAAAAGAAGTAAAAAGTTAAAATGAAGTAATGCCAGACGCATAATGAAAGTTTGGCTTTTAAAAGGATCAAATTCCTCTGGATGCCATTTTCTATTGATCGATGGTATAAGTACATAGTGTATGATGACTAGAAAAAAAAATATATTATAAAAAATATGTCAATAAAACTAATAATATTCAATACTGATTCGACATCGTTCATTGAATCTCTAAAAACTTCATTGAGTTGACGAAAAGTATATTGGTGAAACAAATTGTTCAGAGCACCAAGTAAAAATTACATTTGCAGATCTCAAAAAAGTATATCTGATTCTCCCAAAAAGTACATTCTCAAACGTAAAATATTGTAGTTCAATATTATTATATCATCTTACAAGTTTCTTCAGCTTTTATTTCAATATCATAAACTGCAACAGCACCTAGTAAGGTGCAGAATGGTTAATGCCAGAGCCTAGATATAGTTGTTTTTAGAAAGAGCTGTATAATAAAAGTTGTCAATGTTAATGAAATAATTGATGGAATAAGGTAAAGAGAACCAATTAAAAATAACATAAATATCAACGCACCTGCTGCATTCAATTGTTGGCCACGCGCTATTACTTTTTGCATCTGGATTACATTCATTATATATTCCCAATCAAAAATAGGCATAAATCAGTCTCCAAAACGGTATTGAAAACCTTACCGTTGGCAAGCACGCGCAAAGATTGATCACCATGCTTTGTCTATACTTCTTTATTTTGTTGCGTCATGGTATATTTTTAGTATTAGATGTTACATTTGCTGTACCACTACATAGTCTTATATAAAGGCTATGCTTTTGTAAAAATAAATCTTTAGCTTTTGGCATGGTGAAGCGCTGCTCTTGTCTGTTCTTATATTGTTGATTGTTGTAAAGAAGTGCTCGTGCTCCTGGCTTGGCGTCGCCACCAGATGACGCAAAAATAGAAACAACAGTTGCATACGCAACAGTTTGATCAATGTACTCTGTTACAAATTCATGACTGGACGGATTTGGTACTTCCTGAAGATATGCTAATCCAACTATATACTGTGTGCTTAAATATCAGTATATAATCGTAATACAATAAGGAATTCGGTTAGTCTCACTTACGGTTTAAAGTATCATTCCTGTTCATTTTAAAAGTGCTGTAGTGAGAGATTGGAAAGAAAAAGTGATAAAAAATTGTCGGTATACAGTTATAGTTTTTTTATTCAGGAATTTGAATCATCATCCTTTTTATGCTTTTTCATTTTACTGACAAAAGTATTCATTGGTGATAGAAAAATAAAATTCATTGTAAAAGTTGCCAAAAATACTTATATACCATTCTAATCCAAATATGAATAGACCTTGTCTTCATGTTCAGATCTAAATTTGAGTGCATGTTGAAACATCGATTGTATTAATAAAATGAGTGATACTTTTGTTGTTTGGAGCTCAATTTCATGGACTTTCTCGTAAAAATGAATCATCTTCCTCTGATATCATGACTGATCAAATTTTCTTTTATAATATTGATAGGCAGTAAAATGCATTAAAAATTTTGAAAGTCCAATAATAAAACTTGTTTGAATTTCGTTATTGAGCTTTCATGGCTCACATAATATCATCGAAAAATGAAATTTTATTTTATGCAAAATTGAAAATTCATGGCGCGTGAAAGTAAAAATGGAGGGAACCAATAAGCCGA